CCTCTGCAGGGTCAACTGGTTTTGTTCACAAATGTTCTGCTACTGGCTTGGGATTTTAATTTTTGTGTAATGAAATCTGTTAATCTTTTTGGTTTTGGGATTTTGAGTTATGTCTAGGAAAACTTCCATTTTTGCACCACTACTCAAAAGTATGCAAAGAGTCACTGTTAATTTTTGTAGTACTTTTGTAGTTTTATTTTGTATATTTTAGATCATTGATCATTGGGAAATATATTTTTGTTCATGGGCTGGAGTTAGGGATTAAACACTTGTTTTCCTCTGGAGAAATAACTTGTCTCAATACCATCTATGGAATAATCCATTTTTGCCTTGGCCTGGTTTGAAATACCACCTCTATCATACAGTGACTTTCTTTATTTTTTATTGTGGTAAGATATTATGTCTGTAAAAAACACAGAAATCACAATTATTTATTTATAATTAGTATCTAGAAGTATACTAGAGAAAGGCTGGCCTCTATAACTATAAAGTCCCCACAGGAATGAAGGAACAGGCAGGAGCTTTTTCTGTCTACTTTCTAGAACAGGGATCCTCAAACTTTTTAAACAGGGGCCAGTTCACTGTCCCTCAGACCTTTGGAGGGCCGGAATGTGGCCCTGGTATGAGTCCGCTGCTAAGCAGGACAGGCAGTGGTGGCAAAAACACCCTGCGGGCCAGATAAATGTCCTAGGTGGGCCACATGGCTGGCCCGCCGGCTGCAGTTTGAGGACACCTGTTCTAGAGAGTACTTTCTTTTGTTCTGGTTCGGCCTGAACACTCTTCTTCTCAGTCTTTCTGCACTTACCTGACTAAGTTGAACCATAGCTGCTGGGAGAACTTGGACCCTTTGTGGCAACCATTTAGTATTTCTTTTTTTTTTGAGACAGAGCCTCAAGCTGTCCCCCTGGGTAGAGTGCGGTGGCATCACAGCTCACAGCAACCTCTACCTCCTGTGTCCAAGCGAGTCTCCTGCCTCAGCCTCCCAAGTAGCTGGGACCACAGGCGCCCGCCATAATGCCCAGCTATTTTTTTGGTTGCAGCCGTCATTGTTGTTTGGTGGGCCTGGGCTGGATTTGAACCCACCACCTTAGGTGTATGTGGCTGGCACGTGGGCCACAGGCGCCACGTGGGCCACAGGCGCTGAGCCAACCATTTAGTATTTCTGTGAGGGATTACTTCCTCTTCTAAGTGGATGTCAGAACCAGAGGCATTGTAACTTATGACTGTTTAGGAACTTGAGTGTTGCAAACTGTCAGAGTCTGATGCCATTTTTATGGTTTGACACACATTCTGTAGGTAATGAATCTTTCAGGCTAACGTAAACTTGTTTACTGTAATATAAGAAATCTCTGGCTGTCTTAATTTCTTTTTAAAGCTGGGCCTTTGGTGGTGGGGAGATGCTGGACTAGAAGCAGCCTGCCAACGTGCATTTTCCTAGAAAAGTACAGAAAGGTGCAGGCAGTTTTCTCCAGACAGAGAAGCAATGTGGGCCTCTCAAAGCCAGAAAAGCCCCAAGGAAACAGGTGATGGGGACATAATGTATAATAAGATCAGAGACCTCACTGGGAATAACAGGAGCATAGACCACTGGGCACCTTGCTTGCTCTGCTGGTGCTATGTGAACTAAGCTGCTGCATGGCTGGCACCACCCTCACAGATCTCTGCCAAGTCAGACCAGGGACCTGCCTGAAGTCTGTGCAGGTGTGGTGGGTATTGGACAGCTGCTAAAACCATCCTGAGCTCTCAGGTGCACTGTGCTAGGCCTACATTGGGCTGGTTAGGGAGTGGACTGACTTATGGCTTCTCTAAGACATTCCTGGTGACACTTGAAGCCAAGTGCTACCCGCCATAGAGTGCAAGAGGGTCTGAGCACGGGAACTGACGGGTAGGCAGAGCAGGCTCCAACTTGGGACCAAAGAGGCGGTGTTCTGCCGCTTAGCGTGGCAGGTCTTGGGAGGGATGTGGAGAGCTCTGTGGTCTGGGCCACCAGTACCAAACTGACATCAGCCCACTTGGCATCCAAGCATCCCTAAAACCTACGGAACTGCCTTTCTCTTGATTGGCTCAGTCTCCACCCTGCAGGCCCAAAGTGCCTCTTTTGCTTGGCTCCCGACCTCTCCCTCTGGGTCATTATCTGTCTTGTCTTCCCCAGGACTCTGTTTCAGGCTTTTGGGTCCTGCTCAGACACTGGGTTTCAGGCTCCTCCTAAAACCTACCCTGAGGTTCTCATGCGGGAGCTTGAGATTCTGCCTCTGTACCTGCTTCCTACCCCCAATTTTTTTTTTGAGACAGAGCCTCAAGCTGTCCCCTTGGGTAGAGTGCCGTAGCATCACAGCTCACAGCAATCTCCAACTCCTGGGCTCAAGCGAGTCTCCTGCCTTAGTCTCACAAGTAGCTGGGACCACAAC